TTCTCCCCTGCAGGCATGGTCACTCCCATATGCCCTCCCTTGAAGGCCTGGTCACCCCCAACTGCCCTTCCCTGCTGGCCCAGTCACCCCTGTCCTCCCTTGCCAGCCTGGTGCCCCCCAACTGTCCTCTTCCTGCAAGCCTGGGCCCCCCTCCCAACTCTCCTCCCCTGAAGGCCTTATCACCCCCAACTGCTCACCCTGCAGGCCTGGTCTCTCCCCACCCCAACTGCCTTCCCCTGCTGGCCTGATCATTCACAACTGTCCTCCCCTGTAGGCCTGATCATTCACAAGTGTACTCCCCTGCAGGCCTGGTTCCCCCACAACTGCCCGCCCTTTCCAGCCATCTTTTGGCAGCCATCTTGTGTCCACATGGGGGCAGCCATCTTGTGTTGGAGTGACGGCCAATTTGCATATTACTCTTTTATTAGATAGGGTTACCTCCCAATCAGCCATCTTGTGTCCACATAGGGGAGGCCATCTTGTGTGTTGGAGTGACGGTCAATTTGCATATTGCTCTTTTATTAGATAGCAGGACTACTTCCCAATGAATCTGGAGGGATAACCTGCCAAGTTGCCTGGGATGTTTCTGGGGGGTGAGATCAGGTTTAAAACAAGGGAAATGACTCTTCAAGTTAAACACCTTTTCACCTCAGGGAAGACTTAGGGATACAAACTTTAAAGAGATTCTAAACCATATTAAAATGTTTATGTTATAGGATCCTTCTCATTTGAATCTCATATGTAAATAAGGTTAAAATTTTAATACTGACTCAAGTGACTAAAATCCACTTGTGGTTAACAAGTGTGGGGGTTTTTCTCTATTGTTACAAGTATTATATAAGTTCCTGTTCTCCCCCACCCTCGTGACCCTCTCCAACTGCCCCTCCCCCCCCCCCAGGCCTTCAGAACCCTTGTCTGTGTCCATGGGCCGTGCCTATCTGCACATGAGGTCTTTAGTTGATTAAATCCCACCCGCCCACCCTCCCCCGCCTCCCCTCCGAGATTCCCCACTCTGGTCCCTGCTCCATGTTTCTGGTTCCACTCCGTTCATCAGTTTACTGCTTAGATTCCACAGGAGTGCGATCATGTGATCCTTTCTCTGACTGGCTTATTTCACTTAGCATGATACTCTCCGGGTCTCTCCATGCTGTCTCAAAGGATGAGAGACCCTTCTTTTTTACTGTTGCATAGTATTCCATGGTGTGAATGTACCACAGCTTTTTTATCCACTCATCTACTGATTAAAGACGATTAAAAATGTTTTAATTGCATAAACATAGTTAAAAATGGGGAATCGTGCATTTGAAAAACCCTTCGAATCAAAGTATGCAATACACTTAAAACTGAAAGAAGGGTTTTAGGGCAAATGTTAAGGCCTAAGAAGGCCTAAGTTTTTGGATTTATAATTTAAAGAACTATATTTAATAATCCCAGACGCTTAAAATGGATAAAAGAAGAGACTGAGAAAGAACTTATTGTTAACTTTATTTTTATTGATGCTATTACAGATAGATATAAGAACCACAACCATATTAAATCAAAAACCTGTGCACAGAAACAAGATGGAAAAAACATATCAAGATGTTAACCACACTCTTTGGATGATGGAAATATGGGTGTTCTCTCTTCTACATTTCTGCAACTTCCAAGCTTCTATGATGAACACCTTCTGTGTTTACAATGGAAATATATGGAATAAAGGTGGATTACCAAAACACCATGATCAAGATCCTTCAAGGAAACCAAGACAAAACTCTTCACCGTAATCCCACAACCACACCACTATTTCTTAACGATCCTCCACATTTCTTCCCATCTTTGACTCTATGCATACTTATCATTAACACCCTAACAATCACAGACTGGTGTACAGACAGATGTTAGTAGGAGCTGTTAGGTGCTGGGAATATGGGTGGATTTCTTTTCTATTTGATTGAATTCCCCCAAATTCTGAGTATTTTATTTGCAATGGGAAAATACATACATAAGATTTAATAGCAAAACACCAAAAGATCACCCAAGGGATTTGAAACAGAATATTGAACCATTAATTCCACAACAACAACACTATGTTAATGAATCTCCACGCTTTTTCTCACTGAAGACTGGATGCTTACATGGTCAACATTCACCACACGTTTGTGCACTGGGACAAGATGGAGGAAACAGATCCAGATATTCAGTTGTTGGGTGTTGGGAACATGAGTGATGTTTTTACTTTTCTAATTTGTTTTTCTTTTCTAATTGTATCTTCCAATTTTTTTCCTCTGGGTATGTATTATGCTTGTGACAGAGGCATAATAAACTTTTTTTTTTTTTTTAAATCAGAACACTATTACTAAGGAACATTTAAAAACAAGGGTAATAGAAATCAACTTTGAATACACGTTTTGACACCGTTCTAATCATAAACTGTGCACAGAAATAAGAAACGATATATTAAAGGGTGGATCTGTCTTTGGATGGTGGGAATATGGTCTGTTTTTTTTCCTCCACTTTTATTTTCCAGGTATTTGATAATGAGTACCAATTTTGTTCACAATGGAGACATGACTATAAACTTTTTAGTAACACTACCGTTAAGAACATCAAGGAATTTAAGAAAAATAATGCTCAACTAGAAGCCTACAACAACAACACAGCAGCTGTTGACTAAAAGCGTACGTTTTTAAACAGTTATAATTGCAGTATAAATATAATTCTGTATCCTGCTTTTTCCACTTAATATTCTGTAAATATATTTCCACGCTACTACATAACTCTGCATGATTATCTTTTTTAAAACAGCTGAGCAAGAATCAGATACGTTCACTTAATCGCTCTATCTTTTGGCATCGAAGTTGTTCCTAAGTTCTCACTAGCACGAGGCTGGAACGGACACCCTGACGTTTGGCGAGTGGCTTTCCGAGAAGGAGCCACCGATGGACGCTGCCAATGGGGAGGAACCCAAGTTCACCCCAATGTTGGCCATGGCTCCCTTCTCCGGGGCCTTGCTGCTCCCGGATGCCCGTTCCAACCTCCGGCCTTTTTTTTTTAATGCAGCAGGCCCTCACCGATACCATGCTCTCCAGATGGCCCCCTTCTAAGCTGCCCAGGCCGTATCCTTAGTGGCCCGGCCTTCCAATCCAGTCCAGATGTTTCCCTCTGTCCGGGTCCTCACCCTCCCAGGTCTGCTGCTGGGTAAGGACTCCCTTCTTTGGCTTACTCCTTCCCCTCCGCGCCCTCAGTCTCACCACCTCTCTGGACTGGGGCGCTCCCTGCGGATCTGACACCCTCTCCTCTAGCCCTGACCACGCAGATGGAGGAGCGTGAGATCTGGGCACATTTTCCCAAACAAAGTATGGGCATGTTCTTTCTCAAATCATTCTGCTCTTATCCTTTGTTCACTTCTTCATCAGATCCACTTTTGAATTTTTTTCCCAAATTTTCAAATTATTTTTCCAGTCAACTCAAAGCCGAAAAAAAAAAAGAGAGAGAGAAAAAAAAAAAAAAAAAAAAAAGAGAGAGAAAAAAAAAAAGAAAAAAGAAAAAAAGAAAAACTCAATAGTCATGACGCGAGGGGGAGGGGAAGCAAAAGGAGCACACGTGGTCCACAGAAGACGACACGGGAACCACAAGCTATGAGGTCGGTCTGGAACTGATGGGCATCAGACCAACCGGGCACTAATGATGGGTGGCTCCAAAGTCCTGGGGGAGGGGCGAAGGTGGGCAGAACAGCTGGTAACAAAACAAATTAAGGCTGCTGGGAACCTGAGTCCATGTTAAGCTTAGGTTGACTGTAAAGAAAGCTCTTCTTTCAAAAAAAAAAAGAAAAAAAAAAAAAAAGAAAAGAAAAAATGAAAAAGAAAAAAAAAAGTCAGGCAGGGGGCATGGGGCGGGGGCTGAGGGTCGGGCGGGTGAAGACAGGAATGGGTTCGGTAAGAGAAAGCTCTAGGGGTGCGTGCTCCGGGGCGCCCAGGCGGCGCCCAGAGCGAAGCCACGCTGCTGTCATCACGTAAGGCAGAAAGCGCACCCAGAGCGGCGACAGCCGTCACCGGCGCCGTGTTCGCAGCCCGAGAGGCTCTGCTCGCCTTTCAACCCTCACAGGCACTGGCGTGATCTAGCGATGGCTGCAGCCCTCTCTCTCAAAGGCGAAGCAGCAAGGTTCACGGGGAAAGGCCGGGAGTTTGGGGATTCAGTAGCGCACACACATCAAGTTGGCTAAACACACACATGCTCACAGTATTTCTTCTGCGTGAGGATCACTGCGAGGTACAGTGTGGCAAGGGGTCAACGGGGGTCACAAAGGGTCAATCCACAGATTGCAAAAGGCTTTACAGTGTCAGGTGCCAAGGAGCTGGTGTAGGCATGATGGCCGAGAAGGAAGCTCAGAGAACTTCTCAATCAGCACAGAGGAAAGGCCATGTGTCTTGCATGCCTACACCTTACAGGAGTATTTCAGGGTAAGGGAACAACACACAGTTACTCAAAGAGATACTCAAGGGATGAAAATAATGCACAAGGAAGCTTTCACAGGAACGAAGGTATCTGCAAGTATGGTGCTCATTTCCTCATCCCAAGAAGACGGAAGTGTACCACGGAGGTATCTCTGCACGGTAAGCTGTAACTCTGGTGTCGTGAAGTCCAAGTACCTGTGACCGCTTTGCTACGATTCGCTACGTTATGTACAGCTCAGGAAAAGGACAGGTAGGGCACAGAAGTATTTGGTTGGGGCTATTTCTGTAGTCTCCGGCCGCCTAGGACTGCCCCTCACGCTGACCACTAGGATGAAAGGGAAGGGGTGTGCTGTGGCTTCCCCGCATGGGCACACTGGTGTGTGCCGGGGGAGTTCAGACCAGTGGAACCGCCACCTCCTCCTCCTCCTCCGGTTCCTCTCCATCCGGGCTGTTAGAGTCAGAGTGTCCGGGCCGAGCTAAGTGTCCTGACATGAGTGCGGGTTGCTGTGAGTTCCGGGAGGGCAGGTCCTAAGGAAGGGGAGGCTTGCTGACCTTCCCCTGCTCTCAGCCGGTGTGGGTGTTCTGGTGTCTGGCCAGCGAGAGGCGGTCGCGGAAGAGCTGGCCGCAGACGTCACACTTGAAGGACATGTCGTCAGGCTTGTCGCTGCTGTGAGTGCTGGTGCTGGTGCTGGCGCTGGCGCTGGCGCTGGCGTGCCCGGGGGGGTGGGCGCTCTCCCCGTAGCCGTTGCCAGACTCAAAGATGATCACTCGGCCGTGGGTCTGGCGGTGCTCCCCGTAGGCCGAGGTGGTGCTGAAGGTTTCTCCGCATTCCCGGCAGTCGTAGTACGGCTCTTCAACCTGGATCTCGTCGTCGTCCTCGTCCTCGTCGTCCTCGTCATCGTCGTCGTCTTCCTCCTCCTCCTCTGGGTCTTGGAATCCTGCGCCATCCGGCTCATCGGCGTCTTCCTCGGGCTCTTCGGCCTTCCCCTCCGGCTCCTCCTCTCTCTCCTCGGGGTCTTCGATTCCCACGCCGTCCGGCTCGTCGGCATCCCCGGGGGGCTGTTCGGCCTCGCCGTCGGGCTCTGCGGCCTCCCCCTCTGGCCCCTCGGCCTCTCCATTGGGCTCGGCGGCCTCCACTTCCGGCTCGGCGGCCTCCACTTCTGGCTCGGCGGCCTCCACTTCCGGCTCGGCGGCCTCCGCGGTTGAGCTCTGGAGGCGCAGGACCTGGCGAGGAATGAGCACGCTGGCTTCCACCTGCGGGGCGGCGGCTGCTTCCTCCTCCTCCTCCTCCTCCTCGTGGGACTTCTGGTGGCTGGTGAGCACCGTGTTGTGGATGAAGGACTGGCCGCAGTCCTTGCACTCGAAGAACGGGGAGACGCCCTTGGGGGGCTCGGTGAGGAACGAGGTGTGCACGAAGGAAGCCCCGTAGTCGTAGGGCTCGGCATCCTTCTCGTGGACCTTCCTGTGCTCCCTCAGGGCGGCCCTGCTGGGGAAGGCCTCACCGCACACGCCGCACTGGTGGCGCCTCTCCTCCGGGCTTCTCTGCAGCTGGGCGAGGGCCAGGCCCGCGCTGGCGGCGCCGCTGCCCCTCGGGGCCTGCTCCTGGGAGCCCTCTCCCGCGTGGAGGGCCAGGTGCTCGTTGAAGACGGAGCCGTGGATGAAATCTTGCCCGCACACGTGGCACTGAAGGTACATGCCTGTGGGATTGGCCTGGGGGGCCCGGAACCTCTGTGGGTTGACGAAGGGGTGCACGAAAGGCTCGCTGTATCTCTGGTGGCCGTAGTAGGGGTCTTGCTCGTGAACTTTCTGGTGCTCGAAGAGGAAGGAGCTGTGGACGAAGGATTCGCCGCACGCCGGGCACTCGAAGAGCTGCTCCCCGGTGTTCCCCCTCTGGTACTCGCTGATGGAGTGGGTGTGGATGACGGACTGCGCGTACTCACGCGTGTCCACGAGGTACTCTCTGCCGTGGACCTTCTGGTGGTCCTTCAGGTCGGCCCGATCTGCGAAGCCCAGCCCACAGTCCTTACACCCGTAGATGGAGTCTTCAGAACCCTCCTCCTCCTCCTCTTCCGGCTCTTCGTACTCTGACCTGCCATGGCCCGCGCCCCGAATGACAGAGCCTCCGTGGAACTCTTCACAGGCGTAGATTTTCTGATGCGGGCCGAGGGCTTCGGTGGCGGCGAAGGACTGCCCACAGTCCTTGCACCCTGGCACTGGGCGTGGGGCGTAGCTTGTCTGCGCTGGCTGTTCGGCACGGCTCATTCCCACCGGCTGTCGAGGACGGCCCGTCTGTGCCGGCTGTTGGATGGCGCTCTTCCCCCCTGGTTGCAGGGCGTGGATCAGCTCCACTGGCCGCCGACCGTAAGTCTCGACGGGCTCTTGGACGTAGCTCATCTCCACCAGGTCTTCGAGGAAACTCTTCTTCCTGGGCTTCTGGATGCAGGTCATGCCTTCCGGCAGCTGCATGCAGGTCATGCCTGCCGGCGGCTGCTGGATGCAGGTCATGCCTGCCGGCGGCTGCTGGATGCAGGTCATGCCTGCCGGCGGCTGCATGCAGGTCATGCCTGCCGGCGGCTGCTGAATGCAGGTCATGCCTGCTGGCGGCTGCATGCAGGTCATGCCTGCCAACGGCTGCTGAATGCAGGTCATGCCTACCGGCGGCTGCATGCAGGTCATGCCTGTCGGCGGCTGCATGCAGGCCCTGCCTTCTGGCTCTTCGGCGTAGCTCTGCACGGGCTCTTTCACGAAACTCATGCCCACTATCTGCTCCAGCAAACTGCTCTGCCCTGGCTGCTGAATGCAGGTCAGGCCCTCTGGCTCCCGATCATAGCCCACCTGCACTGCCTGGTCAGCGTAGCTGGTCTTGGGCTCGGCGGCGGCCAGGCTGCGGATGACAGAGCGCTCGTGGCTGCCGTTTCCGAGGGGCTTCTTCCGGTGGCGGGCCTTCTGGTGCTCCGCGAGGTCGGAGCTCCGCACGAAGGCCTCCCCGCACTCGGGGCACTCGTACAGCTTCTCCCGGGGGCGGAACGCGTCCGGCCCCCCGAAGGGCAGGGGGTGGGTCGCCGACGGCTCCCAGGCCCCGCGCTCGATGTTCTTCTTCTTGGCACGAGCCTTCTGGTACTCGGGGGCGTCGACGCCCTCCTTCTTTATCTCGCGGGCTCCCTCTGCGCCGAGGCTCTCTGGGGCTTCGGCGCCGGACACACGGCGGATCACAGAGTCCTTGTAGTTGTTGTTCCTGTCCATTTCTTTCGGGCTGGCCCGGAGGAAAGTCTTCTGTTGCTTGTCGTTCAGATTGGAGGGCCCTCCCCTCTCGTGCCTTTCCTTTGCAATGGGAATTCTGGGAAGTTTGAAGACGGGCGGGCTGTGGATGACGGACCTCTCGTTTTTCTTCTCTTCAGGGGTCTCTCCGGCACGGGCTTTCTGCTCGGCGGCGCCGGCGCTGGTGATGGTGGACGTGGCCACCGCTCTTGGTTTGGCAAAAGTGGGCCCCGCGGCACTGTAACTTTTCGGGGCTCCGGCAAAAGATAAGCTGAGGATGACAGACCTCTCGTTTAGCTTCCTCCCAAGGAGCTTCGTGGAAGCTTTCTGGCTGTCGTCGGGGTTGGAGCCGATGGTGAAGGCCCTCTCGCCCTCGCCCTCGCCCTCGGGCGGCCTCGTTATGGTGTGGCTCCTCCGGGACCCGGGGAAGGGCGCGCTGCGGGTGACGGAGTTCCCGTGGGCCCCGCCCTCACGGAGGTGACTTCGCAGAGGAACCGCGGGGGGCTCCCCGAAGCAGGGGGGCTGCCCGTAGGCGCCCGGGTCGACTCTCACGCCGTAGAGCTTCTCCTGCAGGAAGGAGCCCTGGCGCCGCCGCAGGGGCTGCCCGGCGGGGAAGGTCTCCTCGGCCGCCTTGCCCTTGCTCTCAAATGGGTTGGCCCGGGAGTGGACCTTCTGGTGGTCCTTCAGGGAGGAGCTCTGGCGGAAGGTCTCCCCGCACGTCTTGCACGCGTACGTCTTCTCCTTGGCTCCCAGGGCGTACACCCGCTGCAGCTCTTGGAAGTCCGGGCCGGGTGTGGGGCCCTCGCCCTCCTTGCCTTCTCTGCCGTGGGCTTTCTGCTGGTGCTCAGCCAGCGCGGAGCTGTGCAGGAAGCTCTCCTTGCACACCTTGCACTCGTAGAACTTGTCCTTCCCGTACATCCTCTGGAGCTCGCTGAAGGTGGGGCTGGGCAGGAAGGGCTCCTCGCTCCCGTCCTTCCCCTCCGCCTGGCGCTCCCGGGCGTGCAGCTGGCAGTGCTCGGCCAGATCGGCGCTCTTGCCGAAGGTCTCCCCGCACTCCTTGCACTCGTAGCACCTCCCCCGGGCCGCGTTCCTGCGGCTGATGGAAGCGCTGCGGATGAAGGCCTCGCCGTACTCGTAGAGGTTCTCTCGGGTGTGCATGATCTGGTGCTCCACGAACTCGGAGATGACGGCGAACTCCCTCCCGCACTCGTCGCACACGTAGGGCATGGCCGCGAACTCGGGGGGCGGCGCCTCGGAGGCGGGGGCGCTGAGGCCGCTCGTGCTCAGGGCCTTCCTCATGTCGCTGCACTCGAAGGGCTTCTTCCGGGGCGAGCCCCTCTGCTCCTGCCCCGAGCCCTTGGCGTCGGCGTCAAACTGATAGCGCCTCTTTCTCTCCAGGACCCTCTTTTTGGGGACCGGGTTGGGGTTGCAATGAAAGGCCCCTCCCCCGCAGGCGTTGCCCGCGCAGGCGTTTGCGCAGGCGTTGCCCGCGCAGCCCCTCTCCTGGATCACGGACTGCCTGTTGGGGTCGAGGTCCGGCCTCCTGGGGAGTCTCAGGAGCCGGTCGTTGGTTTCTCTGGCCCGTCCGGGCGCGGGGTTGCGCGAGGCGTCCTGGTTGAATTTCTCCATGATCGCTCCATGCGAAGGCTCCTCCTCGCAGATCCCACGGCGGTGGGTTGACTTCTTGGCTTCGGGCGCGGCTCCCAGACCTGGAGAGAGACGCCGAGCGTGAGTGCTCCCCCTCGCTCCCGCGCTTGAGGTCTTCCCTGAAGGCGGCGCGGATGCGACTGCCGAAGGCCTGTCGGCACAGCCGGTCCTCGTTGTGACGGACGAGATGCCGTGGGGAAGCACCTCTGTGGACATCATTGGCCTATGGTAAAGCTCCTTTCCCGTACCTCAGCCCAGAGCCTGTGCACGCTAAGTGAGGACTCACTGTATGTATGTACGTATGTATGTGTGTGTGTGTGTGTGTGTGTGTATTCGTGCCCGTCTCGCCGATTCGAGTGGCCGCTATGCATGGTCTACCTAGAGCTTACCTCGGCTGGTGCTGGGGTAGGCACTTCTCTGTGACCGTGAATGGCCTTGTGTCATGTGGGAGTGGCCATCGTCTTCGGCAAGCTGAAGCCCTGTTCACAATGATACGACAGCTCACACTCGAGTTGGGACCAAGTCTCAGCACCATAAAGTGATGTCTGCCCTTCGCTGAGCCACCAACAGGAAGCAGCCCAGATCCAATCCTCTGGACGTCTTGTGCTCGCCGTTTCCCTTCCTCACTACCGTTCCTTAGCTCGTTCTAACCGGGAGGTGGTCCATCCTCCTGACTCCACCTCCACGTTCCTACCGAGGCCTCCCTGTCTCCCTACATCCACTGCATCCTTTTAGGCTCCACCTACCTCCTGAGGCCTCTTCCCCTGCCTTCCTGCAAACACTGGAGCTCCTCAGGGCTCCCTGCCTCACTCCGAACGCCACAGCTCCCTCCGCCGCGCCAGGCGGCTCTAGGCGGGCACCGGGAGTCGGCGTCCCGTCCCGAGTGTGTGTCCCAGCCTCTGCGGTCACCGCCTGGGAGAGGACCAGCTCTGGGGCAGGGCCTTCTCCGTGTTCCCCCAGAACCAGAGATTTCTGCACAACAGAAACCTCTTCATTTATGTTTCTGCTTTGAGAGCTTTCAAAGCTTTCGGATTCCCCTGGACGTCCAGACAGACCAACGTGGAGAGAGGGAGAGGAGGGTGGCGGACGCTCCGTGCCTGCAGGAGCGGCGGCTTACCCAGGAAGAGCAGCTTCTGGTAGTTCTCCATGTTGTCCTTGATGGAGTTCTGAGCCTTCCGGTCCTCGGTCAGCTTCACCATGTCCTCGTATGACATCGTGTCCTGAAACAGCAAACACAGACGCTCAGGGGGCCCGTCGGAGGGGCACGCAGCGAGAGCAGAACGCTGGCGACACGGGAGCTACGACATACAAAGGCAGCAGGAAGTGCTCACAGCGTTTGGGGTTCTGAGTGGTCCAGGTCAAGGTTAACTAGGGGCCTACTTTGTACCTACCTTGGCGCTATAGTCTGAGGAAGATCCAAAAGACGCATGACACACATTCCTTGCCCTCATGCAGCTTATAATTTGGTTGGAGAGAAAAGACTCGTGAAACAGTTAGAGAACAATAAGCAGTAAAGTGGGTACAGATATCAGGGCTAGTGGGCTTAGCGGAGGCACAGGTCGGGGGGCTGGACAGTGAGCCAAGGTTTGTAGAGAGCCTTGAGGGGCATTCGGGGGCGGGCAATATTGTGACACAGAGAGAGGGGGACACTGGGAAAGCTTCACCAGGCTAACCATCAACTACACATGGCATGTGCGGGGAACAGGAAGAAAGTGTGTTTTAGCAGACATCTGGTCAGGAAGTGTGACTGAGGCCTCCCACCCCTGCGCGCATACACACACACACACACACACACACCGAGTCTTGCCCACACATGCTTTGCACAACACGGCTACACTGCGGGCTCCTCTGGGCATGTAGAAATTCCAAATAAGCCGGGGCGGTGGAGGGCTGAAGAGCTAAGTGCCTTCCATTCACAGCTGTCTGCTGTGTTCTAATGGGTCCTTTCCTTAGAAAAGTTTTAAATTCCCTGTATTACTCAGTCTTCTATACAGAATCTTCCGGAACCTTTTCTCACTGCTGCACTGAACATGGCTGCTCTCAGAGGGCGTGGCCCGGGAGCACAGCACCAGGCTGAGGCGCGCTGAGGGAGGGAGCGGGACCGTGGGGAGCCCACCCGTTGCAGAGCCACGGGAAGGGAGGGCGAAGGGAGGGCGGCGCCATTTGGAGGCGAGCGGCCTGAAAACAGGAAACTTGGGGCCTCGCCCGCCTGGCCGTGTTGTGGGGGAGGGGAGGCTGCTCTTAGGGGGCGTGTGGTTTACACAGGAGAGTGCCTTCTGGAAAGACACGGGGTGATGTGTTGGATAGCCCACTGGTGGGGGCAGCATGGACGTCACAGCTCTCAGCGAGCTCGCACACGCCCCGGTTTGACACTGAACCCCAAGAGGGCGAACACGCCTCGCTCCGGGCCCTGTCCCGTGGCTGCGTGGGGAGGTGCGTCTCTTTGGGGAGATACATGAGCACAGGCACCAGATCTAGTTGAGAGCGAGTGGCCGTGCCCGGGGACGGGCACCAAAACCCGCCAGAGAGGCAGCCAGGAGCCCCGCGCCTCGCCTGGGCTGGAGAGAACCACGCACGTGGTGGCCTGGGGGAGCAGAGGGTCCCCATGCCGTTTCTGTTGTTACCGGGCCCGAGGGCAGTGGCAAAGGGGAGGGCGTTTTCCTGTCTGCCTCCATCTGCCCAATGGGAGGGTAATAAATGCACATCACACCCCGGACGGCGATGTGCTATGGCAGCAGCTGCTGCTTCGGTGTGGACTATGCACCAGCAGGCGGGACTCTGCGTTGTAATCGCCAGTGGGACCCCCAACTGCAAAGCTGCACCCAGTCCCGCAGGAGCGGCTGCGGGGGGCGGGGCGGGGCGGGGCGGCACTAAGAGGAGCCCCTGAGCAGGAGGGAGGCCTCTGACCCTCGGAGGAGCGGTCACTCCGGCCACTGGCCGCTCTGGGGGCAGACCTGGGACCCGTCCAGGAGTAGCGGGGGCACACACACACGCACACGCACACGCACACGCACGCTCTCTGTGCCAGGACGAGCGCGGGAGCGGACACACACCTGGGACTGCAGCTCGCACTGCATCATGAGGCTGCGGCGGCGGCGCCCTCTCTCCATGGCCATGTTCCGCTCCATCGTGGCGGGCAGGGAGAGGTCCCGGTGGAATAAGCCTGCGGGAGAACGGCCGTGAGGGCAGGGCCTGGCCGCCGCGGCGCGCGGGGCCCTCAGAACCAGGGCTCACCTCTCCGGAGGATCCTGTAGGGCCAGCGCTCCCGCACGGCCAGCTCTCTGCTGCGGGCCCTGCGCTCCCGCTCCCGCATGCGGGCGCGCTCCCAGGCCCGGCCCCGGTCCCAGGCGCGGTCCCAGGCGCGGTCCCAGGCGCGGTCCCAGGCCTGGTTCCAGGCTTGGTCCCGGTCCCAGGCGCGCTCTCGGTCCCAGTCCTGGTCCCAGTCCCGGTCCCGTTCTCCTGCGAAAGCCAGACATTGGGGTGAGCACAGCGCTGACGTGTCCCCCCAAGTGCTTACTTCAGAAGCCCCGCCCCTGCAGGCCCTCCCAGGGGTTCCCCAGGCTGTCCAGGGCAAGTCTGCCTCCTCCGAGAAGATGGCCGCCAGCCCCTCTGCCTCGTCACCGAGCCTCTCAGTGTGCACACCCTGCTCACAAAACTGCGCCCTCCCCTGCAGCCACGCTCCTTTAAAAAGGTCACCGGGCAGCCTGGCTGGTGTGACTCCGTGGCCGAGGGTTGACCTGTGAACTAGGAGGTCACAATCCCATTCCTGATCAGGCCGTATGCCTTCTCCCCCCGGTTATGGGTTCAACCCCTGGTGTGGGGCGTGGAGGCGGCTGATCAATGATTCTCATCATTGATGTCCCTAGCTCCTTCTACCTTCCTCTCTGAAACCAATAACAATAGATTGAAATCGAGGACTGATTATTAAAGAATTGCCCACGTTCACTGAAGAACTGCTCAGCAGAGAGAGCGATAGAGGCCCTCCCGCCCGCCCGGGCAGGCTGGGTGGGGCTTGAACCGTCACTGCCACCTTCCAAGGGCAAACACTGCCGCCCCTGAAGATGCCGGTCCCCATGTCACTCCAAGGCCGGCGTGGGTATAAAAATGCCGATCAGTGAACCTGCGCCCCCCTCAGATCTCGGAGCAGCCGCGGCTGCCCTGGGGACGGGGCACGGGGGACAGGGGAGGGCCCCCTCAGAGGCCCCGATGCCACTGTGTACCTTCGGCCATGGCAGCCGCGGCTGCAGCCCGTCCAGGTCGGTACTCAGTGAAATAGGGGACGCGCAGCGGGCGAAAGTCTGCTCCATTCCGGTTCATGTCTTCGCCCTGGGCGTCACTGTCATCTAAGAGAGCACGACGCCCATTAGAGCCGGCCATCCCCTGCCCACTCTCTCGAGTCCCCCCCCACCCCCCGGCCCCACCGCACCCCACCTCCTGGGACCTCCTGGCGGGAACTGGGCTGTGCCCGCTCCTGCCTCGCCCCCAGTAACTGCCGCCACCTACGCCTTCCTGGCGTACCACGCCCTCCGGTCTCCAAACGGGAGCCGCCGGGCCCTGGCTGCAGCTCCGTGGTTCGAGCTCCGACCCAAGGACAGAAAAGTCCTGGGTGGGTTCCTGGCCAAGGGCACGCACAGCTCCGCTGCAGGTCCCCAGCCCAGGCGGGGCCTGTGAGTGAGGCACCAACAGGCGGCTCTCGCTCACCCCCGTGTTTTCTCTCCCCCCTCTTCCACTCTAGAAATCTGTGGGGGAAATGCCCTCGGGTGGAGGATCAAAAAAAAAAAAGGGATCCGGGGCCACAGCACGAGACACGTGAGGCTCCTCGTGGGCCCCCGCCCCGAGCGTCACCCTCCCTCCCACCTCAGGGGGCGGCTGGTTTGTAGGCCTGTGCTTCGCTCGGCTCCCCAGCCCTGCCCCCACCCCCCATCCCAGGCCGGCTGCCCGCCGCCTCACCTTCGGGCTCGTACATCTCCTTGTACAGCTCCAGGAGGGACACGAGCTTCTCACAGGTCTGCGGCCGCCGGGCCTGCACCCAGGGCAGGATCCTGGCGGGGAGGATGCTCAGGTACTGCTCCAGGACCAGGAGCTCGATGATCTCCTCCTTGGTGTGGATCTCCGGCTGCAACCAGTCGAGGCAGAGGTTCCGGAGTTTGAGCAGGGTCTTGCGAGGCCCTACGTGTCCCGCGTAGAGGAAACCCCGAAACCTCTGGTGAGAGAGCTCAGAGCCAGTCGGGCTCCCTCCCGCGACGGCGCGCGGGCCCTGAGCCAGGTCACCGTCTGGCTCGTCCGGGTCTGGGGCCCAGGACTTCTTGATTTTTCCGAAGTAAAAGCGCCTCGGCGGCAGCATCTCCCTAGAGAAAGCGGTCGGCCGAGCAGCGGGACGGGTGACGGGAAGGACGCGGCAGCCGTGAAGCCAGCGGGGACCTGCGGAGCGCAAGGAGACACACGAGGGAGGGCGTCAGCACGCTGCTGCGAAAAGGCGGGGGGGGGGGGGGGGGGGCCAGCGGAGCGTTATCCCCACCCCACCCCCAGAAACACACACACACACACACACACACACACACACACACACACGACCGCAGGCACGGCATGCCTCCGGGCACCGCATGCACTGAAGGAGCCAGGTCACTACTGATGGGCTTTTGTTTTGTTTAAAACAGATATATTTCCATTGATTTCAAAGAGGAAGGGAGAGGGAGAGAGAGAGAGAGAAACATCAGTGATGAGCATCATTGATCAGCTGCCTCCTGCACGCCCCCTATTGGGGATCAGATCTGAAACCCAGGCCTGTGCCCAAACCAGGAATCAACCCATGACCTCCTGGTTCATAGATGGATGCCCAACCACTGAGCCACACCGGTCAGCACTACTGACTGGTTTTATGATCCTGGGCAATTTACTCTGAGTCTTGGCATCTGCCCAGATTCTGCAAATGAGGAACCAGAGACCACCCCACTTTGAGGACCATGAAGCTTCCATTAAGCCAGAATGCCTAAGAGGCTCACCACCCGCCCTGGCCAGTGTGGCTCTGTGGATAGAGCATTGGCCTGCGGACTAAAGGGTCCCGGGTTCAATTCCGGTCAAGGGCACAGGCCCGGCTTGTGGGCTTGATCCCAGGGTGGGGCGTGCAGGAGGCAGCCGCCCCATGATTCTCTCTCATCATGGATGCTTCTATCACCTCCGCGTTTGTTATGTGCTACCCTGGTGTGAAGTGGGCAACACGTGAGAAAGTCTCAGGTTGGGGCTGCGTGAACTTACGGGCTTTCCTTCTAGAGAAGAAGGAAACCACACATGGTACACATTCTTTTAAAAGGATGGCTGCATGTTTAAAACTAAGCTGCCCGGCCGGTGTGGCTCAGTGGCTGGATGCTGACCTATGAACCAGGAGATCAGGGTTCGATTTTTGACCAGGGCACAAGCCCAGGTTTCTGGCTCAGCCCCAGTGTTGGGGGCGTGCAGGAGGCAGCCAATCAGCGATTCTGTCTCATCATCAATGCTTCTATCTCTACCCCCCAACTCTGAAGTCAATTTAAAAAAATGTATTTTTAAAAAATAGTGTTTTGTTTTAATACGTCTAAAGGGGAAAAGGTGTTCCAATCGTTTAGAGTTTCACAGATTTATCGTTTGGGGGTCAAGGCGGTGAGCGCGGTCAGAGGCGCGGCCCTGAAAACTGTCCTCCACTGCCCGTCCCCCTGGAGCTGAGCACCAGCCCCTGCGGCCCCGCCCTCCTGGGGCGGGGGGGGGGTGGCAGCGCCAAAGGCACTGGAAGCAGCGGACAGGCAAGTGTCCTGGCTGAGCCCTGGCTCAGAGGGCAGCCTCGCTCGGAGCCCCGCCCGCCGGAGACAAAACCGGGTCCCCGACAAGACCAGCCCAGCCACTCAGGACAGCGGGACACGCTCAGGCATGCAAGTCACCTGTTGGAACAGATCCTCTCTGGAGCTTCAAACAAGCCACTACGCACAGGAACAGTCAAAATGCCAGCGACCTGCAGACATTTCACAGGAAGAGATACAAGACGCGTGAACAAGGAAGAAACGTAAAAAAAAAAATAAGCGCCCAAGACCCATCCTCCAAATGGCCATTGGGGGTGAGGTCTTTTCCATCACCTTCAACAGAAGACCCTTTACTGTGTCATATGCACCGACTGGGAGAAAGAAACAGAACACCTTCGGGTTTTTCTCTGTGAAACCAGGCGGAGATTAGCGCTAACGCACTCCGACCACTCGCTCAAGGAAAGAGGCGTGAAGTCTGAACATTGTGCGAGCTAACGACAAGACTATCATTCTCTTACGAATCAAGTGGGGGATGTTATAACTTAATAAGGAGATAACTTTTAACAGACTCCTTAAACATGTGTCAACAATCCTTTTTTTTTTTTTTTAAGTGGGAGGAGCTCCAATATGAAAAAATAGCACCTCCATAAATGAAGCTACAATAAACCAGAGGCACAGGATGGTCCTGGGAGATGTGTGGGTCCAACACTCTCAAGTTCTAACTCCTCCCCCAAATTAATGTATATCATCTCACGGAATTTCCAAGAATGCTGCACAGTGGCTCTCATGTAACGTGGAAGAATTCCATTTAGATCAATATTCTGAGGATTCGTATGTCAAAAGGCCAACAAGCCAAACACGGCATTTAAGAAATATATATATATATATATATATATATATATATTTTTTTTTTTTTTTCTGTTCTGGACACTCTTGTAGAGCAGGTAGGTGTATGTCATAAATCGCCGTAGACACAGTGAGCAGTAACACGTGTCTTACTGTGACTCTTCAAGAGAGGGGCATAAAGGTTAGTGCTTTACAAGTGTATTTGACCATGGAATTATTTTATTTTATTTTTTCCATCACCAAGAAATAGTTGGATAAATCTTGGGGTAGGAAAGTCATTTTACAGTATGATGCCTAAAGGCAGAAAGATGACATGGAAATAAGAAGTGATGGTCTTGGTTATACCAAAAAGCCAAAGAAAGAAAATAACAGAAGAAAATCACTTGCAATTTATGACAGGAAGGCTGATTCACTTAAGAATCATAATAAGTTTACTATACATAGTTGAGTAGGCAATAGTCTATGAAAATGGCATTGGAACATAGTAAGGGATATGTAGATTGTTTTCAATAAATAAGAATGGGAAAACTAGCCAATCATTAATTTGAGGGGGGAGATCATACCATATATAAAAATGCTAAATCTAAAATAAAAATGAAATAAAATTTTTATCACCTAGGAGCAGGAAAAGATATTTTTTTTTTAGACTGAACTTATTAAATTTTTAAAAATTTTTAAAATTTTCATCTTAGTCAATTGATTGGGGTGACATTGATCAACATTAATATTCTAGAGGCCCGATGCCTGGATTTGTGCACCAGTGAGGTCCCTTGGCTGGCCTGCAGGGGTCGTCGGGCCGAAACCGGCTCTCCAACACCCCCCAAGGGGTCCCAGATCGTGAAAGGGTGGTTCTTGGGTAATACACCCTAAAATCAGGCTTCCTCCCCTCTGGTCCAGAGTGCATCACTTGATAACCACAGCTGCCAAGTAACAGCAGCTCAGCAGCTCCTGCACTGAGTGCTCTGCCCCCTGGTGGTCACTGCATGTCATAGCTACCGGTCTAAGCATCTGCCCCCTGGTGGTCAGTGTGCATAATGACTGCTTAGCCTTTTATATAGATATAGATATATAGATATAGATACCAGTCTGAGCATCGGCCCCTGGTGGTCAGTGCACATCAAGACCACTTAGCCTTTTATACATATAGACACCAGTCTGAGCTTCTGCCCCCTGGCGGTCAGTGAGCATCATGGTTGCTTAGCCTTATATATACATATAAACTAGAAGCTCAGTGCATGAAATTCATGCATTGGGGGGCCCTCAGCCCAGCCTGTGCCCTCTCACAATCTGGGACCCCTCGGGGGATGTCCTACTGACAGCTGAGGCCTGCTCCCTGTGAGCAGTCAGACGTCAGCGTTGCCATGGAGGCAGGATAGAGCACTTACCCACTGCCGTGACCCTAAATCCAAGCCACCATCTTTCCCTCAGACCTGAGGGTGGCCTCCTGGCACCCACTGTTTCAACCTTCCCCTTCTGAACCCTGCCACCAGATGACATGTTAAACACAAGAACCTGATCATCGTGGCTGCCACGGTTCGAGGTCGCAGTGGCTTCCCGGGGGCTGCAGCTCGAGCCACGTGCTCACCTGTCCCCCGCGTCCATCCAATGCCGACTGAGTCCTTCCTTCGCTCAGGGAGTGCTGGCCTGTGGGCTCCTCTCCCGTTCCCTCAGAAACGCCCATGTCTCCTCCCCCAACACCCCCTCCCCACACTCCCGCCCGCCGCCCTTCAGGGCTCACCCTCCATGCCCCTGGCTCCCTCCGGGAGGCCCTTCCGGGTTAAGGTAACGCCCACAGCGAATGCCTGAGTCTCACCATCACGTGTTCAATGCCTTTCGTTACTTAACACGCTGTGAGCGCCAGGGACGCCCTTGCTTTCCCCCGGGGGCCTGTTTGTGGCGACTAGTGCCTCCTGCTTCTTTAACTGCCCAGCGAGAGAGAGAGAGAGAGAGAGAGAGAGAGAGAGAGAGAGAGAGAGAGGAGGCGCGAGGGGGTAGCTGATGGCGGGAAGAGTAAGGATACCACAAAGCGCGGCTCAAGGCCACGGAGAATGCCCAGCGAACACGGGACCTACCAGGAGTGTGTGTGTGTGTGTGTGTGTGTGTGTGTTTTCTGAGAGCGCTAAGGGTGGGCCACGGGTGCGAGGAGGAGGAAGGGGGTGGCGCCCCGCGGCGAGAAGTCAAGTTCGCTCACCTGGACTCGGCCACCTGGCGCTGGGATTGGCCAGCCGTCTGGGAAGAGGGCAGAAGATGGAGAAGGCAGAACTGGGGAAGGAAAGGAAAACACGAGACGTCACGTGGGCTTTGCCATGACCAGGTTCCTCCCGAGGGGGAGGAGGGTGATGACATGGCACCAGCAGCCCCTTCCTCTCGGGCACTCACAGGGCTCGGGGGAGACCGGGACAGCCCTCCCGGGTGGCAGGAGGGCCACATGCTCTTGGGGCCCAGGCTGTCCCCTGGGCTGTTGGCTTCAGACGCCCGCCGATTGGCTGGGTGGCACTGGCCACTCGCTACAGGCAAAGGCCGTGGGGCGGAGAAGGCACGGTCATTCACTGCCCGTGACCGGCCAGGGACTGGGGGTGGCACCTCACTTTTACTGTCTCTTGTTGATCCTCACCACGTGCTCGCGCCTCGCCGGAAAGCAGAGGCCCTGAGCACTCAATCTCAGAGCCCACGGCAAACTATTACAGATCAGACTCTGGGGGTAAAACATGGGCGTTTGTTTCCCATG